GGGTACCCCTTGGAAAAATCTCGGAAAAATAAAAAAAATTTTTTTTGTCAAAATATCGAAAAATATTGAAATATATTCAAAAAGGCGTAAAAAATTCCAGACTTTTTGGGCTTGTATTTCCTCAAGTCAGTTGTCGCGGCAACATCCGAGGCAGTTGTCGCTCTTCTAATTGCAAGCGCGCGCTATACAAGCGCTCTGGTTGGTAGCGATTTTTCCTTAATAATTCGACAACCACGCCTCGGATTTTGATAAAGAAAAATATGATTTAAAATCACCTCAGCTTCTCCACATTTGCAGGCCTAACACTAGTTCTGTTTCAGCCTGTATAGAACTATGCTGAGTATGGGCAATCAATATCATTCGTCAGCATGTTTTAAAATAAACTATACGGTGATAACGCGAACAAGAAGCTCTACCGAAACAGCTGTGTAGAACTGATCTCTTGATCATTATCATTCTTTTAGATACTTGTCATCATTTAATAAGAATTAAATGTTTACAATTGAATCACAATTGAAATATTAATCGAAATCAATTCGAACTACTAAATCCGAGTAGAAATTTTATTTAATTTTAATTTTATTTAAATGGAAATGATTATTAACTAAACTTAAATATACAAACCGATTGATGGTGATCGCCACCATGCTGAGCAAAGAGACTGCCACGTTTCCATAAAAAAACAGCGGGAACACCTTGCAGAGAGTCTCACCGAGCACCCAAGCCTCGTTTAAATATCTGCTCGCAGTTAACGGCAAGTTTACAGCAGAAAAAATTAAGTCGGATATACTGAGACTTATAACAAAAGCTGTCGTAGCGTGTCGCCTTAATCTTGTATATTTCAAGAGTGCAATCACTGTTACCAGATTACCTGAAACAACAATATAAAAATCATAATATTTAAATTCTTTTTGCCTATAAAAATGTGAATAGAAAAAAAAATGTTATATCCAATATTTTGAAAAATGTTTAAGGAAAACATGACGCCATATTCAGAAGATACCTAAAGATTAAAGATAGCGAAAGTGCTTGATTAAAGCATCCATCGTGATTGCAATTGAAGAAAGCGCTGAGGCAGACGGATAATGAAGAAGAGAGATATTAATCATTGTAATTCCTGACACCCTCTCGCGTAAAATTAGAGCTGTTAATAGTCACAACTTAAGAAATGCCACCCATGGGTTAACGAGAACTTGACCACACAATTTAAACAATTAAACGTTCACTCGCTATTTAAATAATAAATGCATGTGAAACTCTGTAGACTATTCCCTTCATACACTACATTTTCTTTTACAATATTCCACAAGAATTATAATAATGGAAACAATTGAACCCTGTACACATTTTAAAGAGAAACGCATGATATAAATGAGGATTGAAATTAATTGATTTCTCAAAGGAATTCGTTAGTAATTGCGTGTAAGTAAAATTGTAATTTTTACCTGCGACTCCGACGATGCTGAAAATTATCGCGCAAACGGCGGCCGCGATAGTAACTGGTCGCGGAAAGTGCTTCAGAGTCTCGCCCCCCGACTCGAGACCGAAAATCGTGCCGTTTGTTACCGAATCGCCCATTTTGTATCGTCTTTATGCGCTCCCTCGTCGTAACATGTTTCCAAACGAACAGTGCGAGCGCGCTTTGGAAAAAGAAAAACGATTTCGTTAAAGATAACTTACGTCTTATGGTAATAACGTGTGTACTATAACGACGAGCAAAGCATACAACATTTTTATAACAATGTTTCACTTACTATATATTTCATATATTATTCACTGCATTTTCTTATGTTTTATCTGTTTTCCTTTCTCATCTATTCGAACATGCACAGTTCTTTTGTATCCAAGTTGTTTATCTCTGTTGCAGATGATTTGAACAAAGATTTAGCATTCAGACGTTTCTCCATTAACTCCATTAAATTCGTTTCGTCTAAAATAGTTGATTTAACCAATTAATATATTTAAAGATTTACTAGAATGAGAGCAGATATTCTTATCGCAGCACTTTTCAATGACAAAGGAACATACTCGGTGAGAAACTTCATCGAGCGTGATTGTGTGTATATTTTAATACAACTTTCGAAAGAATTGTCATTTTGGACACTTGAACTTAATTTGAATTATCATAGTTTTATGATGAAAGAAGGTTACAATTGAGGTCAAGATAATGTAATATGATTTCTTTATTGGAAGCGTAAATAAGATTGCTTGCTTGGTTGCGTGAATAAAGTAATGTCATATTTGCATATTTCGAGAATTATTAAATTCGCAAGTGTTTTTATTGTATGATATTTAGAAATATGTATCACAGAATATAACAAGTTGTTATGGGAGTGTAAGACGGTAGCAATCGTTTGTCTGACCCTCGGCTGAGACGATTAAACGCACGAGTGTTCCTTATCCGTCCAGCCACTTGAATTCATCTCTCTCTCTCTCTCTCTCTTTCTGTCCATGTTTCTCCTTTTTACCCTTTTCGTTTCTCGGCAGCCGCTAAGTCGTTCTATCCGTAACCATCGTCCGATTTTCTTGCCGCGGTCGCAAAAAACGACGGCGGGAATCGCTTAAGCGTCGTCCTCGAAGAAAGAGCTTCCTCTTTCCGCCTCCAATGAACCGCTTTGGGGTTTTAAACGCGTCTTCCGTGAACCGTCGGCTGAACCGATGAACTTCAACCTTGCCTTATTGAAAATAATTAATTTTCACTGCTTTCTCGGAAAGCACGATACCCGGTGACACTCGCTGATAACTTCTCTCGCTTATCGTTCTCACGTTTGATTCATCGTCCGAAACTTATTTCTTTCTGACTATTGTTTTCCCATTCGTATATCTCCAAGGTTTCTCGTTCAATCTGAACAAAATTATTACACATGTTTCTCCGAGAATAATCACATTCTCGAGCCAGTTGCTATTAGGCACATGCTCCACTTTTCCCTCTTCCTGTTCACTTCTAAGAAATCTCATAAACTTCCATATGTTTCCGCGTATAATAGAATTTTATTCTGCTTCCGAAAGTTCTTTAATTGATTTCTTATTAATAATTCAAATAATGCGCTATTTATAAATACAAGCTTATTAGTTCGTTAGTTAAAAATTATTGAACCACTGTTCTTGTATATTTGATCAATTTCATGATTCACTGTCTTTACTCTCGTACTGATTACTATTCCACTCCTTTCACAATACACGATAACACTCACTCTTCTAAAGAAACGAGGAAATCTGTGAGGCACAGTGGCTAACGCGATGACGAGCGTACGTCGACTGACGAGATCCGTCAACGTTTGCTGCCCCTTTGGACGAGGAGTACACGAGGTCTCCTTATCTGCCACTTCTTGGTCCGCTTCCTACGCGCCGCCGCCTTTTTTTAGCCCGCCGTGGCCCATCCGAGCACCACTGCGGACCAAGGAATCCTAATTAATTAATCTCTCTTTGAAGATCATTGTTAGTGCCCGCTGTGCACCGTTCAAATGTAATCGACCGAAATGATACTCCTCCCCGTGAGAATTTCTGCCACTCAATCCCTTAAAGACCCCATAACTCTTACAAGGGTCGTTTATAAAGTTTGAAGATTATACAACAATACCTTCCGTCATTTACAAATTAGTATTTCTCAATTTGAATTTTCTTAAGTACATTTGAATTAATAATTTGCACAAATTATGAATATCCTTTCAAT